GAGGACTTGGGGGTATTCTGTTATAAAGTAGTTGTACTAATGGGAAGAGATATAGTGTTATTTGAAGGTGGGCTTAGATTATTTTGAAATATATATTGTAAACATATATTGTAAAACTTTTAAAAAGAAGTATGAATGACACGCTAAGAAAGGAGATAAAATAGCATCACACAAAATGGTCCACTGAAACCAGAGGAGAGAGAAAAACAAGTCTCTGGCAAGTACAGAAGACAGTTACTAAAAAGTTTGATATTAATCTAAGTACCTCAATAATCATTTAAATGTGAAGGATCAAAACACACCCATTGAAACACAGAGATTTTCAGAGTGGATAAAAAACACAAGTCCCAACTCTATGCTATCTACAAGATATCTACTTTAAATGCAGAGACAGTGGTAGGTTAAAAGCAAAGGGACAGAGAAAGGTGTATCATGCTAACTCTAATCGAAGTAAGTTGGAGTACCATTATTAATTTCAGACAAAGCAGACTACCAACCAAGGAAAATTATCAGGGATAAAGAGGACACATTACATAATAAAAAATCAATTTTCCAAGAGGATGTTACAACCCTCAAAAGCTATGTACCTAGCAACAGATAATTAAAATATATGGGGCAAAATCTGATAGAATTTTCATTCTAAAGGAGAAATTGGCAAATCTACTATTATAAGTGGAGACTTCAAGACCTGTCAGTAATTGACACAACAAGCAGACAGAAAATCAACAAGGACAGTTCACTTGAATAGCACCATACATCAACTCAATCGAATTGACATTTATAGACTATTCCATCCAACAACAGCAAAATACACATTCTTCTCAAGCTTGCACGGAACATTCACAAGGATAGACCACATTCTGAGCTATGAAGTACACCTTAACAAGTATTTTAAAAATAGAAATCATAAAAATATGTTCTCAGACTACAATGGAATTAAACTAAAAACCAGTAACAGGAAGATAGATTTCACTGAATTCTACCAAACAGCAAAGGGAGAAATTACACCAATTCTTTAGAACCTATTCCAGCAACTGGAAGAGAAGAAACACTTCCTCACTTTATGAAGCTGAAACTATCCTAACATCAAAACCAAAGAAATGATAAGAAAATGACATACCACTACCTCTCAGGAGCAAACAACTGAAAAATCCAAAACAAATTATCAGCAAATCAAATCTAATAACATTTAAAAAGAATTATACACTATAACCAAGTGGTACTTTTTCCAAAGTGGCAATGTTGGTTCAACATTAGAAAAATCGATGGATATAATCTACCACATCAACAGACTCAAGAGAAAAAATTGTATGATCAGATCAACTGATACAGAAAAAGCATCTGACAAAAATCCAACACCCATTTCTGATTAAAAACCACTTCACTAAACGAGGCAGAGACCATCCTCAGCTTGACAAAGAGCATCTACCAAAAAACCTATTCAGGAAATGCTAATCAACAGTCAGATCCCACTTCCCACCCAGTAGGCTGGCCATAATGAAACAAGGCAACAAAAAACAGAAGCTAACAAGAGCTGGCAAGGATGGCGAAAAAGGAGCACCCACACTCACCGCCAGCGGGAATGTAAAGTGGCACAGCTACTGCGGTGGAAAACAGTTTGGCAGTTCCTGGAAAAGTGAAACAGAGTTACCACAGAACCCACCAGTTCCACTCCTAAATACATACACCGAAGAGCTGAAAACAGACACCGCAACTAACGCTGTCCACACACGCTCACAGCAGCATTATTCCTGACAGCCAAAAGGTGGAAACCACCCAAATGTCCATCAATTGAAGGCGCAAACAAATGTGGTGTATCTGCAGAATGGAATATTGTTCGGCCCTAAAAACGACTGAAGTTGGGCCGGGCACGGTGGCTCACGCCTGTAATCCCAGCACTTTGGGAGGCTGAGGCAGGTGGATCACGAGGTCAGGAGATCAAGACCATCCTGGCTGACACGGTGAAACCCCGTCTCTACTAAACATATGAAAAAATTAGCCTGGTGTGGTGGTGGGCGCCTGTCGTCCCAGCTACTTGGGAGGCTGAGGCAACAGAATGGCGTGAACCCGGGAGGCGGAGCTTGCAGCGAGCCGAGATCGCGCCACTGCACTCCAGCCTGGGCAACAGAGCGAGACTCCGTAAAAAAAAAAAAAAGGACTGAAGTTCTGACACATGTTGCAACATGGATGATCCCCATAAACTTTATGCTAAGCCAAAGAAGCCAAAAAGAAAAGGTCACAAAGTATATGATTTCTAATTTATGGGAAACATTCAGAACATGTAAGTCCATGGAGACAGAAAGCAGATTGCGGCTGCCAGAGACTGGGGTAGGGAGGCCGGGGAGTGACTGCTTAACGGAGTGTTTCCCTCTGGGATGATGAAAACGTGTTGGAACTAGACACAGATGGTGGGTGCCCAACACTGCAAACGCACTACATGTTACTGAATTACACACTTTCAAATGGTTAATGGCTAATGTTACATGAATTGTACCTACTTTTTAAAAAAAAAAAAACCTACAGATGACATCATATCTCATGGTGAGAAACGACATTTTCCTCCTGAGGTTGAGAACAAGGAGGGGAGAGGGAAAGCTACAGCACCAGGGCTGCCAGGCGCTCGGGAAGGCGACGACAGAATCCTGTGTTGAGTCTGTCCTCGTGGGACGCTGTCACAGCAGGGTGACGGGGTGGGAAGCCCACTAGAACAGGCTTAAGAGTGGCCAGGTTGACTGCTGGCTTTTAGAGGTGGGGTCACAGCCTTTCTGCATCTTCTCTTAAAATCACTCAAACCCAAGAGAATGAGAAATGAAAACTGCACCTGCAAATCTTGCCAGACGAAGTGCTGAGGCAGCACAGGGACAAGGAGCCCCGGGGAGAGGGGGAGGCGGAGAAGCCTTTTCGTGCCCAGCCTCACAGCCCACCTCTAAAACCCCGAAAGGCCCAAGAACTGAGACACCAGCAAAGAAAGGGAGTGAGGCCGAAAGCAGGGGGCTTCTCAATGGTCTAAATAGGGACAGTCAGACCCCCAGCCACTCAGAGGAGGACTATCCTGACCCCTGAGCAGGGATGCCCTGGCAAAAGGACACCACGGGTTCCATATGAGAAGAGGGCAGGGAACATGGTGACACCAGAGAGCACCTGTCTGCTGAGCCCTGGGGCCCCTATCCCCACCCCACACCTCCCCCAGACTCAGCACCCACCCCCAGGGCAGGAGGCTAGAGAAACGGAACTCTCTCAGCTCTGGGGATGCTTGTTCCTGCCTCATGAGGCAGCCTATGCTGACTGATACACACTGCACAAGGGTTCACCTAAATGATGACATAACCCTATGTATTAGAGTTAGGGTTGGGGTAGATGGAGCAGCTCTGGGAGGGAAATCTATGAGTTCAACCATCTTGACCACAACAGGAGACTAAGAAATAGTAGCATGCCCATATTCTTTACAAACGTGGAGATATATCCAGAGGAAGAAGCGACAACAGCTGGAAGTGGTAATCTACGGGGAGTGGGCAGGGCAGGGGCTGTGGGGAGATGGTCTGGGAGGCCAGCGGTCTGCTATTTTTTTCATAAAACCTATAAAACTCTTTGACGTCTTAAAATATGTATATGTATCACGCTGACAACATAAAAACCATGTCTGAAAAGTAGACCAAGCCTTTGAAGTGCAAAGGGGGCGAGGGTGGGTGGTCTGGATAAGCATCCCAAGGCACAGGCCGGTCCTAGCTGCCTGGTTCCCCCAGCGTCCTGCACAGGGCGTAGTGTGGTGACTGAGACGTGGCCAAGGCTCTGAATAACAGTTCTACCACATGGGCAACAACCTCAGCTTCCTCACCCCAGTGACCATGAAGGGAGTGACCGCGGCTTCCTCAGCACAGTGCATGGTGCGTGTGGGATAAATCCTGCTGTCCCTGCTTCTAAGGTCTCACCTAATTAACCTGAAGGACCTGCAGTGTTCTGGGTTGAGAGGCAGGAGCAGGACAGGCTGGGCAGGTTAGAAAGTCCCCTGAGAGAGGGTGTGGAGCAGGACGGTGCTGAGCCAGCTCCTGGAACAGGGTCTGGGTTACAGATGGAAACCATGGGGAAGCCGGTGGGAGCAGGGTCGTCGAGGGAGACCAGTGTGTCGGAATAGGCAGGTGGAACACGGCTCAGACGGCCCACTCAAGGACAGAGCATGGCTGTGACACAGCTGTGGCCCCACTGTGCACTGCACTGAGATATTCCACTGGGCACAGGGCTCCTGCGGGACAACTGGCAGCTGTTGAAGATGCTCCTGCCTCTGCAGGAGGGGCTGAGCCGCTCCCACAACCAGACCCTGCAGGCAGCTCGAGAATGTGTCCCATACCATCGCCTTGTGGGGACTAACTGTGTGACCACCAGTGTCTTGGGCTGCCCTGCTGCCGTCCCTGGGGAGGGCCCTGCCCACACTGGCAGTGCCTGGGACTGGCCACCTGGTTGTCAAGGCAAGCAGCCTGGGGTGCTGAACAATTTAGGAATTGTTATTGCCAGGTCGAGCGGAAAGAACCTGCCCACTTCCTGCCGGCCCCTCCTCCTGGGTCCCTGGGAAGAACTGACCACCGGGATGCCCCAGGCCCATCTGCACCCCATGGGGAAGGGAGGCTGCCCAAGGAAGCAGCACAGCTCCACCAGGAGGACGGAGGCCTCAGTGCAGCTGGGAAAAGGGACCTGGGGCGTCCCAGAGACAGGATCTCAGAGGTGAGACAGACGGGTTCACAGGGAATGCAATCTTCTCCTGGCAACTGGTCCCCTGTAAATGTCTGTTCTTCCCCTTTCACCTCAAAATAAATGTAAGTGTATGTGAAGTCTGTGAAAGCAGAAAGCAAAAATATCTAGCGTAGCTGTGTTTAAGCTTTTGTTAGAGAAAGGTGAGCGCCACGGTGGCTATAACTCTTCTTACGGCCCCCAATTAGCACATCAGCCCAGACTCATGCATGAATGCCACATTAAGTGCAGTGGGGATCCTGACGGGTTCTACTCACTCAGAATCTCCAGACACAGGAAGAGGCTCACCCCGTCTGTCCACGGGACAGTCCTGGCCTGTTGGTGGTTTGTCCACAGGAGATTCGGCAATGCGTAAATATTCAGGAGACTGTAAAGAAAAAGAACACAAACAAATGAAGCATCCACCGGATGAGAAAGGAAACCGCTGATTCACCCACAGAGGAGCAGGTGTGGATGGCAACGATGGGCCACATGCGCTTATGGGAGGCTAACAGCTCCCTTTCCAGAATCTCTAGAGTAGCTGGAACTCCAAGGCTCTCCAGAGCGGCCGAATACGGAAAAACCAAGTCACAGGTTGACCGTGATTCTCCCCCAAGTCTTCAAGTGAACTTTCGTGTTTATTCCCAAAGGACAGTGAGTACAGACAACTAATGATTTCGGGCCACAGGTAGCAGAGCTGCATGCTAAGCTTGTGGGGAATACATTTTTCAAGCCCTTCTGTAGGAAGATAAGGGAAATCTGGTGCCATTAATATTTCAGGTTTCATTTGCTCTGACAGGAAATGAAACACATTCATCAGGGTTCTGTTCCCAACTTGGTTTTTCTTTTCTTTTTTTTTTTTTTTTTT